GTTCTCATGCATATTTGTGTGGAACTTCCTATGCTCCAGTTTGTAGCCATTTCCCCTGGTCCTATCACCATGCACCACTGAAAAGAGTCTGGCCTCATCCTTTTGCTCCCCACACTTAGATATTTATTGTATTTGATCAGATCCCCTCTGCGTCTTCAATTCCCAATGCCGAACAGACCCAGGTTGCTCAGACTTTCCTCACATGAGAGGTGCTCCATGCCCTAGTAGCCATCTTTGTAACCCTCCACTGGACTCTTTCCAGCAGATCCTTGTCTTTTTTCTACCAGGGACCCCAGAACTGGACACAATACTCCAGGTGAGGTCTCACCAGAGCAGAGGAGGAGGGTTACCTCCATAGACTTGCTGGCCATTCTTTTTAATGCAACCCAGGATACCATTGGCCCTCCAGGGCACACTGCTGGCTCATGGGCAACCCATCATCTACCAGGACCCCCAGGTCCCTCTTCACAGAGCTCCTTTCCAGCAGTTCATCCCCCAACTTGTACTGGTGCATGCGGTTATTCTTCCCTAGAGGCAAGACTCTACACTTGCTCTTGTCAAAACTTATCTGGTTTCTCTCCACGCAACTGTCCAGTCTGTCCAGGTTTCACTGAATAGCAGGCAGCACAGCCTTCTGGTGTGTCAGCCATTCCTCCCAGCTTCATGCCATGAGCAAACCTGCAGAGGGTGGACACCATTCCCTCATTAAGATCATTGATGAAGATGTTGAACACAAGACCAGGCCCAGCACTGACCCCCAAGGAACGCCATAGACCTCCAACTGGACTCTGCATAGCTGATCACAGCCCTCTGAGCTCTGCTAGTCAGCCAGTACTCAACCTATCTCATCGACCACTCATCTATTCCACACTTCTTCAGCATTGTTATAAGGAGGCTGTGGGAGATAGTGCCAAATGCCTTGCTGAAATCAAGGTAGACTACGTGCACTGCTCAAACCGTGCTCCTTCAAGCATTTCTGAAAAAAGAAACTTCTAAGAAGTTACATTTTCTGCAAGTGGGGTCTGTCAAATACACAGTTACCACCTGCAGAACACATTAAACGAAAAAAAAAAACCACAAAAAAACCTTAATCTGAACAAACCAGACCCTCCTTATTGGTATTAAGTGTCTGAAAAATCTATGATAAGGCTAATATGCTTTGTCACTTACTTGGCTTAACTTCTCTGCTACGGGCAAGACCTGTGGTTTTAAACAATCCTGTTTGTGTGTAAATAAATGCTCTTTTAATTTGCCATAATTTCAAGTATTTTGTCTTGTAGTAATGAATAATTAGCATACCTTTTATGATTTTTTTTCACTCGGTGCTACCTTAAGGGGAATATTTTCTCTTCTATGCACATGTGTAACCTCCAATAGCAATAATAACAGTTATGAAGTATGGCCCCAAGGGAGACAATTTCCCTAAAACTTTTAAAATGTAAATCTATGCACCATTCTTGCCAGCATGCATGCTCCAGTAAGTGAAACTAATATTCTGTACTTGCCAGCATAATAATCCAAAAATTGAATAAATTCCAAGCACTAAACTTAAGAGAAAGTTCCTAATTTTAACTTTGCATAACAGCATGCTTGGTGTTACCTCCAACTGCTACTCACTTCTTGCTGTCTGGCTTCTGAAGTGGAAGTTTTATGTTGAGATGATGGAGGAGAAAAGTGTTAGGTTTAGTTCGATTGTGTACTTCTGCCAATATAATTTCTGGAAAATGTATTGTATTCTAGTCACCTCCATGAAAAATAACATTTATTTGGACAGATAAAGTTAGAAAGCATAACCACACACTTAATATATTTAGACTAGAAATTACAGCAATTGGGAACACAGTTACCTTTGATCTCATGATGGTTTTCTGCAGTCTAATTCTGTTTAATGCTACTGACTACTCTTGGTGTGCACATTTGGAAATAAGATTTGATCTATAATAATCCTTAACATTTTCTGACAAGAATGATTTTGAGTGGTGTTTAACCTAAATTTCATGTAAGTGCTCTGCTCAGAAGTGTAATATTGTGCCTGTGAATGAGTAAGTACATGTGCATAACCATTAACAAAAATATGCTGCAAGTACTGAAGACTAAGCATATAAAAGCAGAATGCATTCAACTCTTAATTAGGTTAGTGCTTATGAGAAAGATTTATCAGACTCTTGTCTATGTTTTAAGTTCAGAGTTGGAATTTTTCAAGCATAAGCAATTATAAATACATATATGAGTCCTCTTTCTCAGGAGAGACATATAGGCCCCTAAAATACGTGTTCTATGAATTCTGTAGGTAGGACATCCAACTGAAACTTCCATACAAAAATGCTGTGCAGTAAAAAAAAATACCCACATAGTATTCATACACAATTCAGTGTGATAAAACTATACAATTGCTTTCCTGAATACATTTTTTTTTTTTTTTTTTTTTGTGCTAGGAAATACATGAGTTGTGCCAAAAATGTTGTCAAAGAGGTTTTGTAGGAAATACCATTTTGCAGTGAAGTCAATGTTTATGACTGAGGTACAACAGGATCAGGAGCTTACTCTCATTTCATTTTTTAAATCCTGTATCCATTTCAGATTGGATTCTCAACAGTCCCCTAATGAGTGATTTAATGGACACAAAAAATGTCTTAGTTTTCTGTGAGGACTTTTCTTCTGAGTTTACTTCTCCTTCGTGTCTTCTAATAAATCTAAGCAGAGTCCTCTTAATTGCGCTAAAAGAATTCAGAGAGTAGACATCTCATGGAGTATTCACAATTCTACCAGCAGTATATTTTAGATTATCCTGAGAAATGAAGCACAGAATCGTAGGGGTTGTGTAGAATTGGAGGGAGCTCGAGATCACCAAGTCCAACCTCCTCCCTGATACAGCTGGCTCCCCACAGCAGGTCACACAGGAAAGTGTCCAGAAAGGTTTTGAGTATCTCCAAAGAAGGAGGCTCCACAACCTCCCTGGGCTGCCTGTTCCAGTACTCTTTCATTCTCATAATACATAAGTTAATATTACTGGAGACAATAATAGCAAGTGCTTGGCTGTGTTGTCACTGTTTTAAGGTCCCCTAAATCGTCTTTTTAATAAGTCTTCCTAACAGAATACAACATAATGGATTTTGTAGTAATGGTCTCTTGAGGAAGGCTTGCATTTTAAAAAGCTGTTTGCACTTTTATTTTAAAATCACGTGACAAATGTATGTAGATGTATGTAGATGTATGCATTCATTCAATAGCTTGCAAACTCATTTAAGCTTAAAATACGAGAGAGATTCTCTTCCTCCAGATTCTGAGGACAGCATCCACCAAAACTGCAAATATTAATGTTCTACTTATACTAACACAGCTACAATGCAATTTTAATGTTGTGCATTAGTCGCACAACATCAAGCCCATCCTGGGTACTTGTTAATAGCATAAGACCTCCTGTTTGCAGAAAAGTTCCAGAGAGGTAACATGGTTTCCTTACTGTGGAACCAGTAAAATTTATTTCTGGTAAAAACAAGAAACAAGTGAGTAATTATTGTTGCAATCTATCTAAAACTGTTAGCATGAATATGCTCCAGATCAGTAGTGTACTCCAAACCCAAACCCAGTTTTCTATGCTATTTGCTTGATCTGTTACTGGACAACTTGACTTCAATCATCAGCTATTGTAAGTGAAAACATTATTTTGCTGCAATGTATGTTTAAGGTATAGATGTGTTTTATGTTTACTGAGAAATCCACCTTTGCAAGTACAAGTATGTGAATACAACTAAGCCCACGCTAATACTTTCAGTACTGCCTATGGTAATGATCTGGAAGGTATATCCCACACAAACACAGGTTGTCCTGGGAGGGACTGTTACACAAGGGATATTGAGCATTAGGTGTAAAACACTATTACACCCAATTTTGACTTTTTAAACTCCAAATAAACTTCCTGACATCACCACATTTTATTTCAGTAAGCAATAGTTTAGAAAACAATTAAATATTTATATTGTTACATAAACAACTGTTTTATATATATACATATATGAATAAACAAAAAGAATAGCTATCTGACTTTGCATTTAGTGAATTCACTGTTGAATAATGACACACGCTGATGAATTTCTATTGAAGACTTTATTCTAGAGTCACTGAAGTCTGATGTAACATGGAATGCAGGTGACACAATTCATACAGTGTTCACAGCTCCAGATAAATCAAACACAACCTTAGTATTTGATTTGATGGGCAAGTGCTCATCAAAAGACATTGGATGGAATAGTGCAAACTGTGAGTTAAATACTGAAAATTATTAATTTTTTCAAAGTCATGAACTGGAAGAATGATTTTTAAACACTTGATTACACAACAGGTTTTAAAATGCAGCACAGTAAAAGGATCACTTGGAGTTCTGCTGGCTGTAATGAGAAATACTGCCTGGAGAGCCAGCTTTTTGCAAAGGGCGATCTATCAGATGGAATAACAAAAACACTAAATGTACAAAGAGGGGCGTTCCTTTAAATTTGCATGAAAAGTACTCGGCTTGTGAACGTGCAAGTACCCGGATCATTTTCACTGCAGGACAGCATTTCACCTCCAGCAGACATAGAATGGATCGGAAGAGGAAGACCGCAACCGCCCCCTCCCCGGGAGCCCCCCCACCGTCGCCTTGGGCAGGGCTCCCGCCCCCCAGCTCAGCTGCCAGCCGGGGCCCAGTCCAGCACGGACCTGAGCGCCTGCAGGGATGGGGCAACCAGAGCTTCTGTGGGCACAGAGAAACACATCAAACCTAAATCTCCCCTTCCCCAGTTTAAAACCGCTCCCTCTTGTCCTGTCGCTGACTCTTTAACCGTGCTGTTGTTTTCGTCTGAGGAACAGCTCTTTCCGAACGCATCCGCGCAACGGGCGAGCAAAGTAGAACAGCTCAGCCCACCCCGCCCCCCGAGATGCGCCGGGTGGTGCTGCAGGGCCGGCCCGGGGGGGCGGCGGGCAGGATTAGATTTCAGGCCGTCGGGGCGTGCCCGAGCGTGCTTCCCCGCGGCGCGGTGCCGTTACTCGGGGACGGGGAGGGCGACGGCGGAGAGCGGGGCCCGCGGAGCCGCCGGGTAAGCGGGGCGTAAGGGGCTGCGGGGAGAAGAGCTTGGAAAAGCGGCGCGCCGGCCGTGCGGAGTTGCGAGTCAGCTCTTTAAGTGTATTTATTCGCGAAGTTTTGTCGTCATGTTGTGGCTCGGCGGGCGGGGCGTTCTGGAGGAGGAGAAAGGCCGCGGGGGGGCGAGCCTGTTGCTCTCCGCTCCCGGGGCCGCGGCACGGCCTGCGGCGGGCGGGCTGCTGCGGGCCTGGTCGAGGCAGCCGTCCGCGCGTCACCGGCGGCCGCGGGAGGAAAGGTCCCTGAGCGCCTCCTTCTCTCGCTCTCCTTCCCCCCTTCCGGCGGGCAGTTCCCATCCCTGGAGGATGTCTCCTCCCCGCGGCCGCTCGCAGCCGCTGTGTTTCCCTTGAGTGGCCTCGTTCGAGGGGCGCGGTAGGCGCTCATGGGCTTCTCGGGGTCCTGCGCTTCCACTGCGGATACCGCTATCCGCGGGTGCCAGGCGCTTCTTGCAGTGCCGGAACCCGCTGCTGTTGGTCCCTGAGTGTGCGTTCGGGCACGGTCCTTTCAGCAGAGTGAGTGCGAGGCCTTAGTCTTGCCTTCTGATGTGTGAGGCTGTGTGAAGAAAAGGGTTTGCTGTATGGGATGCTTTCTGTCTAGGGTGGTTTTCCCTTCCGTTTCCAGTACGTTCCTGTGTTACTGGAAGGAATAATAGGCAAGAAAAGCTCTCGCAGAGCTGACCCTGTGAACTCTGTGTACTGCGTTTCATAAGATTGATTTGCAGCCTGGCTGAGCAGAGCTGCATATTTTTTCCCTTTCAGCTTCTAAAAACAGAATCTCATCATCCCTTTTGCTTCTTAGTACACGCAAGAGATTTTGTTAGCATAAGTTGCTGAAAAGAAAACGTTATTCCTAGCCATGGTACTGGAGGGGATAGGCGGAGTTCTTTGCCCAGCAGAGCAGCGGATGGGCCAAGTGAAAGGGCCTGGTTTCAGCTATTGTGGCAGCCTGTTGTGTAATGCCTTGTGGTTTCCATATCAGCAGGGCATTTTCCAAGGTAACAACTTTTAAGGAGCGAAGAGTCTAAACAAATACACGGAAAAGTAGTAAAATATGTCTGGGAAACGTCATTTCCCTACAAAAGTGGAAAGTAACATAGCACTAAGAGAACAAGAATGCAGAACAAAAATGCCTCAGGGCATATTGATGTAGGTGTTCAGTAGCAGTGCTTTAATGGCAGAGAACATCAGAGAAGCATTGTAGTTTTCAGCGTTCTACCCCAACAATGGGTAACAATTATTTCGTATCTCCATATTACACTAGCAGAGCACGTGTGTAACATTTACTGATTGCAGCCAATGTTTCTGATACAGCAGTGTTTCTGCTGGCTTCCTTTATGCTCTCAAGAAGCTTTTCTCTGGGAACTGGATACATTCTTTCTTCACGTAACAGTGCACTGGGAAAGCTAGATCAATTTCAGCACGGGAGAAAAAAAGAGCTGCGCTACTTACGTACTAATTGATGTTCTTTATTTTCAGTATGGCAGTGTCTGTGAATTCTGTGGAGCAATGAGTGCATTGAAAACCAAAATTAAAAATGTTTGAAATTATATGGTCTATATCTCATGCAAGAAAATTTTAAATTCTAAAGATGATATGCATTACACTCTCTAATTGGCTTTCCTGTGAACCACCCTACTGAAGCAGTTTCAGCAAATACGATTCCAAGCTGATAATGTAGTCTCTCATCATTGGTAAGGATATTTGTTTTGCCGTAGGCATTCTCAACGAGTCAGTGCATAAATATGTCATTTTGTTTTCAGTGCCCTCTTTTCACACAGAAATTGGTTTGGAGTATGGTTGGTTGGTGCTTGTGGAATAATGGCCTATATGGTTGCAGAGTGTTTCTTCAACTTTCTTTAACTGAGGCTTTTCAGACTCAGTTCTGGTATCCAAGCCACCTTGTATCATATTCTGGTTATGTGCTGTAATGACTTCCTGTGTGATTCTTCCATTATTTTCACAGTATATGATAGGAGTTCTGCAGCATTTTTGGTTTGTAAGAAAAATGATGACTCCTCATTGGCTTTACAGTGAGGCTTTTTTTCTTTCTTTTCTTTCTTTTTTTTTTTTTTTTTCTTTACCATTTACATATCCTGTTTTTACCTCTATGAGGAATCCAATGTATGTTAAGAGATGCAACTTCTGTGATGTAGAAACTGTGTTTAATTAAGTTCATCTAAATTTAATGAATTTGGTAATCAACTCTTTATATTGGAAAAGTGAGTAGGCAATATGAACCATGCCTAAGTTATTTAGAATGGCTTGGGATGTATAGTGTCACATATATTTTGTGTATGCTGAAAAGCTGCTTTTTTTTTAGTTTCTGAAGCTAATCCTGCATTTCTAATGTTTGAAGAAAATTATTTCAATTAATCTCAATTTATTTACTGCAATATTTCTTTTTTTTTGTGAACAGATCATCTGTTTATTATTTTCCCTAGTACACCAAAAAAAAAATTCCTCTGCCTTGTTGGCTTGTTTGTTTGTTCTTGTTTTGTTATGTTTGCAAAACTCTTTACCAGTCACTTGTAAATACTTTGCATCACGTATGTTTATCTGCAAATGAAAGTAATAGGTGTTGTTTAGGCCCACTTCTGGGTTACAGTTGTAACCTGCACATCAGCTAGCATAAAACATTCATGTAGAACTCTTGACTATTACAGAATATTATTAATTAAAGAGAAACAAAGAGATTGTACATTTATCTGAAAGCTTTGCAAGTTTTCTTAAAATGTTAGTGTGATGTGTGCAGAAGATAAAATAGTTGAATGTTCACAGTCTGGTTTTCATAGTTGTTTAGCTTTACTGCTATACTTTCCTCTGAGATACAGAGCTGCTGCTGTCACCTTTTACGAGTTTTTTATACGTTCAGTGTTTTTCTGAGTTTCAGGAGGCTAGCATTGTCAGTTTACAAACTGCTTATAGTCTCCATACAGCCTTTGTGTCAGTTTTGTGAACTGGCTTTTTGTTTCTGCCTTGAATGTTTTGGAACAGTTTTCCTTTAATATAGCTTTTACTAATCCTGTATTTCTAATGTTTTTCAGTGTATTTCAGACTTCTCATGCTTTCCTGTTACATTCCTGACAGTCAGTGGAGATCTTCTTTACTCTTTGTGGCACTTAATTTTGTTTATACGAAGCCCTCTCCAATAGATTTTACAGGTATTGTGTCAGTTCTCTTCTGTCATAGACAAGTGTGCAGTCCCTCTGCTGATGAAACAGGTGGATGAGGTTAATTCTGCCTATTCGTGTCTTGTGGAAACAAGCTAGCCTTTTTTTGTTATCTTAATTCTTTTCCACTGCTTGCTTCTTATTCCTCCTATTTTTCCCTTTTTTGTTTTCCTCCTCTGTGCTCAAGTATGTTTATCGCTGTCACTGTGAGTAGTGAAGGCTGTACTTGTCAGAATACAGTTGTTGAGCCTGTCTAATACTTCTGGGAGTCCTTGGAAGTGCTGTATGAACAGCAGAATTGCCTTTTGTAGCAGTGGAAAAATAGGAAGCATGAGATCTTTCAGATGAGCTTGAATGGTTTCAGATGTCTTTGTATTGCCAAGACGTTTTCCAGAAGTCCGAGGATCACTGTAATTTTCTTCAGGGATGTTATCCAGGGTGAGAGAGGTAGCTGGGTGAAACAGAAAAGCTCAGTGAAATTGAAAGCAATGCAGAAGGTCTCCTGGTAATCAGTGTCTTCTGTTTCCTATGTGGTTTGGTTTTCATTCTTCTGCCACGCAGAGCTAACACAGTATGCTGTTTGAGTGACAGCCAGAAAGCAGGGGAATAGAAAAGCATGGGATAAAAATAAAGTAAGAAAGGATACCTCTTTCCCAGCTAAATTCAGTCCTGGGTGCTGAAATTTAATTAGAATTTTTCAAATACTCTTCTTAGCATCTGCAGAGTATAAGCTTTGATTACCATGTTGCTATACTGAGTCAGATTTGATTTTAATCTCATGCAGCTCCTTGCCAAAGTTTGGACCTGGAGATTGCTTTTAGGATAGGCATTTCCTTTGTATTTTGAGCGCATATAAAGTAATGCAAGAGCTACAAGGCAAAGCCTATTACTCTGTTTTCTATCTTTGGAATCACATGTTTGCTAATCCAGTGCAGTGAGCATGAGTTTCCAAGGTATTATCTGAAATGGATTTGTGAAATTGTAGATGGAGCATGTGTAAATACAAAGGAGGAAGTTTGCTTGTGTAGGAATTACATGATCAGGTGTGAAAGAGCCATAACTAGAAGGAACTCATCTTTTCCTTTTTCACAAGTCTTCTGGGTATTCCGTTTAATAAGGTTTGCATGATTGCCATGAAAAGGAGGTATTGAGCATACATTTTGTGTCTATTTTTAAAATTCTTAAACCTATGGATTTGAGTGCTTTAGGCACGGGCACTACGAATCCAGGGCTGCAGCGTTTATCTGGCAGCTGTTCTATGAGAAGAGCAGCTGCAGTTGGGGAGAGATGCATATGAAACGCATTTTTGTGTGTTAGCACAGGAAGAGTCAAATTTTAGAAGTGCAAATGTATTAATGATTATATGATGAAGGGGATTATCTTTAGCTTTTGTGCAAGCTTAGTGGAAGATTAAGTTTCTCGTTGTGTATTTAGCTAAAACTACTTGTGAATTTTACTTTTTTTTTACTGTAAAACAGGAGTAAAGGGGTAAGGTGCCTATTTTTAAAAGTTATACCTGTGTCTTTGGAAACACTGAATTAATTTGCTGTTCATTTAGCAGTGTTTCTTCCAGTAGCGGATAAAAAAGTCTAAGTCAGTCAATGTTTTTATTACTGTGATGAGATTAGTGAACTTTAGCTCTAGAACACATAAATAGTTAAATCTGCTTTGAGCTCTTTGGATCAAGACTGGTGTTTGTGTCCTGTATAGAAGGGCAGGTTTTGGCTTTGGACTCCTGTGATACAGGCAGCCAGGAGTATAGAAAACGACATGATCAGAAACCGCCTCTCATTCATTCACGCGTCTAGAATTTGTGATGGTATTATAATAATATTCACTATAGCAAATGAAAGATTTACTTATTCCAACGCAGAGTTGTCTCCATATTTCTCTCTGGACAAGGTTTGCTCAGTGCATTATTACTGAAATTCCTAGAAGTGTGCTGTGTTAAAGACCAGGAGTTGTTGCTGTGGTGGGTGGGAGTGGTGACTATGGACACAGCTTGGGCAGCTGCACGCTTGCTTCCCTTGTACTGTGGCTAGGTTGATGTGCCACTAAACTGGTGCTGACAGATCCCAATTGTTAGCATGGATGTGGTGCAGCAGAAACAGAGTTGAGTGGGTTTTCACCATGCCAGAGTGTGCACAGAGCAAAGGGTATCATTTTGAACTATGATATATAAATACTGGTGTGCCTCGAGGCACTGCTTCTGCTTCAGTGGAAGTGTCCTGAAGGAAAGCATTCTGACAGCAGTTCCTCTCTTGATCCTTCCTTGAGCTGTGGTCGACAAAAGCATTAGATGGATCAGCTAAGGAGTCAATCCCTTCCAGTACAAAAACAAAACAAGGAGAGTTAAGGAGAAGTAAAATAAAGTGAGAGTTAAAAACTGAGTTACTGGCACTAAGATGGCTCTGGGGCAGTTTTCCTGCCTCTAATGCACGAGGTAAGTGAAAAGTGTATCGTGAGAGTCTTAGCAGTGCTCAGCAATTTTTTCATTGCAGATTAAGTAGGATCATCTCTATCTCTAGAATTATATACTTAGTGACTTCTGTTAATAAGTGTCTGTGTTGAGAATGCTTCAATTTCAGATCATCAGTGATGATTATTCTGGGGTTGCTCCAACACAGTGGTGACCCTGTCCATTTTATTGCTTGTAAACATTCCTTTCACAGCACATTAGAAATAGGCAAGTTGAATCATGATGTAACGTAATATCCACCAGCTCTAAAAGATATCTCCTCTTCTTGAGATTCTTAGAGGTCTGAAGCAGAAGGCCTGAGGTACAAATAACTTTGTTTTTGCTGGTTAGTTCCTCAACATTTGAGAGTTGAAGATATGATGGCTGTGTGCATGTACATGTGCTGGGTGATGGGACTGAAATGACTGAGTAGTAGTCTCCATATTTGTATCGTGCATTTTTCTGATTGGATCTAAAATGCAGCTGTATAAACATTTGTACAGATAGAAGTAGAAGGGTGAAACAGGAAAGAACTTCTTTAATTGGCACTGCCACCGAGAAAAAGACCTGTGAATACTACTTGTAAATGTCTCTACTTGTAAATAGGGGCTCTGAACTTACTGTGTGATAATAGTTTTTTCATTTGAAAGTAAAAGCTATTGGTGTTTAAGGTTAGGGGAAAACCACCTTATTTCATTAATTTTTTAGTAACTTCATACAGCCCTTCCTGTTAAATAGACAGTCTTACTTTGAAGGGTGAACAGGTGAAAACGCAAGATATTCTTTGGTTTTGTTTTCAGATCTGGTAGTTGTGTGCTGGGATTTACCTTGTTAAGTAAGAAAACAAACTCGTGAAGTATTATTTTATTAATTATTGATGTGCGTGTTTGTGTAACTTGTGTAATGGAAAAGGATTGAAAGGATTTGAATTTTATGCCTACTTCTAAGTAATATGTTGTCCTGAAAGTGATAATCAGTGTTTCTGTAGCACTGTATTTGTAAATCCATATGCCATAAATGTAAACTGATATGGAGCTTAAGGCATACTGAAAGTAGGGAAATCTGGCAGTAGAACTTGAAAGCATTTAAAAACCACTTGATTTGTTTTTTCTTTTCAGACTGCAAGCAAGTTTATGTTGACAACTTTTTTTCTTACTTTTCTTGTGGGGATTGATTATGCTTATCATGCTCAGCTTCTATGGCTAATGGCCCTTTTGAATTTTAGTTACTCTCTCGTACCCAGAGATCTGTCAACAGATCTGTCAACCTTTCTTTATTATCCTCTTTGAGGAAGAAAGTCATTTTTCCTGGGTGCTTAGCTCTTTCTGAGTGCTGTTTTCTGTATGATGCTTTCTTTACCAGATTCAAGTTGATTTACTATCTTAAACTACTTTCCTGTTACAAAGAAAACAAAAGTACTGTTGGGAAGGGTAAATAAATAAAAAAGCACATGTTGGTTCGTGCACCTACAATGGTATTTGGATTTCTCACTTCATTTACCTCCATCACAGTCTCCATCACAGCTGTGGATGGGCAGACTCTCCCACTCATACAAAAATCACAAATTTCTGAGCAATATTACAAAAACACCAAACAAGAAAAGAAAACCACTCAAATTCCCCAAGCTCACAAAATACTAATCAGTTTCAGATTCTTTGTAAGGTAGAGTTTCCTGCCTGTAAATTTGTGTTGGCAAAGATCATTCATCAACCATATCTGACTCTTAATACTGGCATATGTAAGTAGTGGAGGTTGTAGCATGAGTTCTGGACGTAGTAGTGTGAAAGTTCTGCAAATCTGATAGCAGTAATGCTTTGTGACTCATGGATTTCTTCTTAGGTTCATGCACCTGATATTGTCAACACAGAGCTTGAAAACTGAACCTGCAGGGAATGTTTTTATGAATCGCTGAAAGGGAAAGCAATGAAATGCTGTGAAGTCTCAGTGGCAGCTGTGATTCATACCTTCTGATTAAAGCATTGCAGGGCATGTTGTGCAACATTATGCAGACAGGATCTTTGATATGGAAATGCAGAAATAAATTACCTGAAGGAGATGTAGTTTTAGTGGGCTGTTGTTTTGAGGGCATGGCAGTTGGTTTCAGAAGTTAATTTTTTTTCATTCTGAGCTCTCTACTTTGTATTCTACATCTGACAGTTTCCCTGTGTTTCCTTTTTCAGGAAAAACCAGGACAATATTTGTATGTGCTTTCTGTGTTGGAATAGGAGCTGAGAAGCAGAAATAGAGAGCATGTTGGAAACAATTGGTAATTTTTTTTTTTTTTTTTTGCTTCATTATAATTTCTCACTGTATTTGTCAGATGTATTGTGTGTAATAGTTACAGGTTACTGGTGTATACAAATGAGGTGGGTTTTATGATAAATGCTTGGCAATTTTTTGTTTGTTTGTTTTAGAATTGTTTGTTTGTTTTAAAATTAGGAAACAAAAAGCTGTCATTTATGTAATTATTTTTTTTTTTCCCAGTTGTCTTTTTTTTTTTTTTCCTAGTCTTTCTTAAAAGACTAGAAAAAAAGACCTTTTAAAAGGTGTGTGTGGAAGAAGACATCTTTTTAGGGGTATTTTTGTTTGATTTTATTTGCAGTTGCCTATAGCCACAATTCCTGTACTGAATTTTAATGAAAAATTTTTACTTTCTTGCAACCTAGTAATTAATGGAAGAAAGAAAAAAGCCAACAAAAGTAACAGCCATCTTATTATTTGCCTTCTGCTTTGTGCTCTTCTCTGACTTCGTAATTCATTAAGACATGTTTGGTTCAGTTCTGAACAAAAACCCTTATAGACCTCTGTATTTTGAAAAAAAAGAGGTATTTAATAAAATTTATGTGCTTTCCGTATGGCTGTTCCTAAACTGCCACTGACTTGAGTGAATGTTGCTACAGATACACATCGGGCCCTCCAGGCTGTGGAACGCTTACAGGCAAAGCTTCGGGATCGAGGTGACATCGCAAATGAGGAAAAACTGAACTTACTGAAATCAGTGCTGCAGAGTCCGCTTTTTAATCAAATTCTCAGCCTTCAAACTTCCGTTCAACAGCTGAGAGATCAGGTAGGAAAAGTAGCCTCCCAGACACAAGAGAAAAGTATAAAAACTGTATGTCCTTTTGCATGGTGAATATTGAAGTCAAGTAGCCTTAATAAAGATCTGATTCAAAGCTTTGGAGAACAAAGGAGAACACACCCAGTTACATTTCTGGGCTTTTGTTATGTCCCATCAAACATAGAGTATGCATACATTTTTTTACGTACATGCTTGTAAGTTACTTTGTGCACTGGGGGGGGAAATGATGATATTGGGTAATAAGTTAAAGTATTGCCTACTGTCACTGTCTTTGAAAAGGAAGTAATGTGTTTTGTTTGTTCTTTCATTCATTCTTATGGAATACTGGCTTCAGAAGATGCATATGTATTTTTCTTTCTATACGAGATTGAAAAGAAACAAGATGTCCTACCTCCTTTCCAGTTGCTCAAGAATTGAAGTATCACTTTTCTGCCTTTCTTCAGAGGGGACATCTTATTTTTATTGGCATAATTATGTATTGTAGAATCAGTAAGATTGGAAAAGACCTCTAGAATCATGAAATCCAACCATAAGCTGATGATTATTTGTTATTGTTATAACCCTATAACTTGCTAACCTGCTTTTCACATACAGCCAACTCCCACAGAGCTATTCCTTATTCTTTAAGTATAGCCAGAAATGCTTCTTACGGGCTTCAGGTCAGTTTAGATGCTTTCAACAGCGTGAGGCAGGTGGAAAAAGAAACCTGTTTTTCTTTGCATATTGTATGTTCTCGTCACTCTCTGTTCTGAAGTGCCGTGTTCTGTAACAGTGGAATGTGCAACATTTGAGCTCCTAAAACATACCTCATGAAGGCACACGTAGTACATGTCGCTAGTAGGGAGAAATGGTGAAGCAGAAAGAGGGATACTCTGCATGTTGACCTTATTGAATAGTGAAGCTGCATCTTGTCTCTTGCTAGAGTGTATCTGGTGAGAGGAGCCTTTGTGCTCCTGAGGTTGCGACAGCTGCATGGCACTTTACTGTTCCCTGTAGATTATCTTGAATATCTATTTTACACTAACAAATATGGTATTTGTTATATAAATGGTAGAGTGGTGTCTGCAGTGCCATACATGACTATGTGTAGGGTTGGTTGTTTTTATTTTTTTAATTTTGCAGGTTTTTTTGTATGTGATGGCATTAAATTTGGAGTGATTAAAAAGGTCTTGGTGAAAAGCTCTTCTGAGAGGTTCTTTGAGGCTCTGTAGTTTGGGAACTGACATCCAAAAACACACAGTTAATTCTGTGGTAATGTTTGTGGGTTTGTACAGTCCAAAAACAAGATGTCCCTGAAACACTAGCATGTGTTTGCTGAAAAGGCAGATCAATTTTCACTTACCGACACTGTTTTTGTTGTTAAAAAATACTTGTTTTTCTAAATTCAACCACCTAAATGAGCCACTACCAATATTCCATAGTTAATTTCAGAAATGTATTAAAAAAAAAAAAAAATCATTTCAACTGCAGCCCTAAACTCGCAGGTTTTTTATCTGTGTAGTAAACTCAGTGGACCGCACACATACCCAGTCTAGCTGATAGAACTAGTTGTATGTGAATTTCTTTATGCTTGTATAAACATCTGAATATGCAATTACAAGTTTCCATTCTCAAATTTTTGTTCTCTCTTTAGAAAGTGTCCTTTTTTTTTTCCTGTTTTTTTTTTTTTCCCTACTGTATAACATGAAATTGTCTGTTTCTTCTCTGCTTTGTATAAATGCCTATAAATAATCCTGAAACAAGACAAAGAATAAAATAATGAAATAGTTATTTCAGAAGACTAACTTTGTTAGTGTTTTCAAAGTTGCGATTTGCTAAAGTTCAGGGCCACTCTTCAGTTTTCTTTTCATGGCTATAAAGGCATTGTGCTCTTGGAACTCTTAAGTTAGTGAAAACAGCAAGGCTTGTGAAATGGTGCTGAGTAGTGCAGTGGATGGTTGTTACAGTCTCTATCTGCTGCAGACTGAGGTCACTAAATTTCTTGCATGTGCAACAGGCTATTCTAAAAGTTGAGCCAGGGTCTGTCTGTTAAGGTGTATTGTAAGTGACAGTCTGTTAAATTGTTAATGTGCTTTTAATAAGTGTATGAGTTCTTAAAGAGCTCCAAGACTACTGCAAAATTCTCAGGAGAAAACCCTCTGTCAAGAAAGTATAGGTGTGAAAAAGAAGATGGGAGCAGAGAAGAAATGATGGCAATTAATTTTCTTAATTGAACTGATTAATTGTGAGTGTTCCAGCAGAGATTTGTGGGCTGATGGTGGTTTCATAAAATTGAGGGAAAGACATATTTCTGTCTTGAGGCACAGCATCTGGAATCAGAATCATTATGGTAAAAGACCACTAAGATGATGTAGTCTGACCATCGACCCATCACCACCAAGGCATATCTCTATCTCTAAGCCATATCTCTAGGTGCCACATGTAAATTTTTCTTAAACACCTCCAGACATGTGCACTTCTCTGGACAACCTATTTCAATGCCTTACTACACTTTCTAAGAAGAAATTTTTCCTAATGTCCAGCCTGGAAGGCATAAAGATAACTGTGAGATCATCTTCTGTTTGTTCAGATCTGGAAAATGACCTGGTGATTTTGTAAACATCTGTTATGTTTTCCTAAGATGTAAGTACAGAGTTCTAGCATTCAGATACAATGGTTGCTACTGCCATTTTTATAGTCTAAAGTGCTCGGATTCCTCCTTTGTTTTTTTTTTTTTCCCCTAGATAAGGGATCTTTTAAACATCTAGAGGGTATCTGAGAAATGACTATCTCTGTACAGACACTTCTTCAGATTTGCTCTCTTGTTTTTCCTTAAAGCTTCTGTGTGTTAATTGGGAACTGATTCCCTTAAGTATTGATGTGTGCTTAACAACAGCCTTTTGAGTTTGCGTTTTTGTTCAGTGGGGGAGTGTAGGCTGAGTGGTATGTTGCTTCATCTGTATGTTGCTGAGGCAAAATGCAGAAGTCAGCAAATCTGATGCTTTGCTGCCTATTGGCAGGTGTTTTAACAATATGGTGTTTTTTTTTTTTTTTCCTTAGATGAGCAAACAGGATTTATTTACTCTGCAGATTTATCTCTGCAGATTTAGAAACTTGAGTGGGAAAAATCTAGGAATGTTTAAAGAATATTTGATAGAGAATTGCTCTCCTGACTTCACCTGTCACTTGAGTTGAAGAGCACTGAAGCAGGGAGATTTTTTTCCTCTTTCTTAGTAACCATACTCTTCTGTGAATGTTTTCAGCTTTTGAAGAGCAGTCTTGCTGTTGGGAGTTGAGAAACTGACAAAGAGTAGCAGAAATGGTGGTATTTTGAATTTTCTAGGTCTTTCAACAGTATTTTCTATATAAAAGATATTAAAGAAAACAGTGCTGGCAAACGTTGTCTACCACCTCTTTTCCTTTCCGTCTCTTGCTCATCCACTGCCTCCTTTTCTCCTTCTCTCTCTACCAGAACAAAAAATCCTTTGGCTTGGCTACACTCCTCACATGCTTATTTTTTAAAAAAATTTATTGTTATTGTTTGCTTTATGCCCCTGTGAGGACAGAGCTCTGGGGGGTGAAGACACAGTTGCCAGGAGCGCTTCGAAGCGCTGCTGAGGAGTAGGGTTCTGCATGTATTACTGCTGCTTGTTTTGCAGGAAACTTAAAGGAGGTTTTGGTGCTGCTTTCACAGTGTTTTTGTGCATACTGCCCTCTCCTTTGGAGAAGAATTTGGGGCACTTCAGGAGCCTCCTTCAGGGAGCCTGCCAGCAGGTCCTCACCCGCCACTTCCTACACAGGGTTGCTGCGGGGCTAGCTTGTGCTCTGATGCTTCTGATATTGCTTTTGCTCTCACTGACTTTTTTGATGCTCAGCACACAGATGTATTCAGTGAAATGTATCCTCATTGTGTATGTAGTGACGTTAAAATGCAGATAATGAAGAATTTGTTCTTTTTTTTTTTTTTTTAGCAATGATGATTACATAGCTTTGAATGCTGATAAGGTAACAGGCATGACTGGAATAGTTTCATTTTTATTAAAAGCATTTTGAACGGCCAAATGTAAGTGCTGTTTGATTACATCCAGCATTTGTCTGCAGGATTATGATATGGACTTCATCGTGCTTAAAAATTTTATCCTTGTCATCTTTTTGCTTATGCCAAATTATGCCCATATATTGCAGATGTTATGCACAGCAAGGAGGAAACCAATCAGACAATTATCATTGGCCAAATTATAAAACAAAGCAATATTCTTTTGTACAGTACTTACATGATTGCATTTCCATAAAGCTATTTCTCCAGGGTAATATGGTGACTTTATTATTGCAAAGCAGTGCAGCTTACATTTTTTGAAAATTCTTTCTTGAAACTACAATAGCATTATCATCCTGAGATTTCAATGTGTGGCTTATTGCTCCCCTAGAAATGACCTATGCTTCAATGATTAGCAATAATATACACCAGTTCTTCCTAGCTGCTACAAGCTATAAGCCTATATCTGAAGGGAGAGGAGGGAGGAAAGTTTTTAATTTGTCTGAGGATTCTAATATTTTACCTCTTGAAGTCATTATAAATGTCATTTTATAATGGTAGTAATTTTAGAGCTTGTGTATGTATGTTTTAGAAGAGAAGATGAATCTAAAGTTTTTTTTCATGCATGCATACATACACAAAACTTCACTCTGTTAATGGCTTGGTAATTTTCTTAAAGTTTTCATCACAGTTCAGAAGCTTCCCTTGTTAACCCATCCTCCACTGAATGCATATTTCTTTAAAGGAAAAACAAGGTGAAAAAATGAAATTTACTGATAATTATTATAGAACAGGTGTACTACATTGTAGTTTGCTGTAGTCATAGTTTTACATGAATGTTTGAGATTAACTTTTTCGAATTTGTATTGAAATTGGTATTAAAGGTGTTCAGTATGTCAGCTGTCATGCAAATAGAAGCTATCCAGTGTCTTCAGAATCATTGAGTTAATAATTACTAATGGAAAAACATCTG